CGTCATCCTCGTAATCCGTCGCAAGATGGGAGCAGTGAAAAGGAACGGCGCGGGGAGAGCAAAAATTGAGGGGTAAATTTGGATTCCCCGGAGGGAGAGCAAATCTCCTCCCAGGCCGTCCTCGAAACCGTCCGCGCGCACCGTCGGGAAAAACCGCCTCCATCTCACCCCAAAAAATTTGCTCTCCACCTTTTCGTGCATGCAGGAGGGCCCGGCGCTGCAGACATCCTCTATTTTTTTTTGCTCTCCCAGATTTGCTCTCCGCCTCTCTTTTTTTTTGCTCTCCAGATTTGCTCTCCCAATTCGCCTCCTCGCGAGGGCCTTTCGCTCGCCTCCGTTTGGGAAGGGGTCGTAGGGATTCTCCATTGGATGGGACAGGGGCCACGAAAAGGGTAACGGAGGGAGGATGGGGTGAGGGGGGAGGAGGGAGAAGGGAGGAGGGGGTGAGGGAGGCCGGGAAGGGGAGGGGCAGGGGAGGGAGGAGGGGGAGGCGCAGGAGCAGGAACACGAGAGGGAGGAGCATGAACAGAAGGACGGAGGAACATTAGGGGGAGGAGCAGGAGGCGGAGGGGGAGGAGCAGGAGCAGGGGGGAGGAGGAGACGATCAGGAAGAGGAGGGGGAGGGGGGAAGAGGGGGAGGGAAGATGGGGAATTGTGAGGAAGAGCAGGGGCAGGTGAGGAACATGCGTTTTGCTGCGTTCCTGTTGTTGCTTCTGCTGCTCCCTCTCGTCCTTACTGATTCTCTCCATTTTCGTCCTCGTATTTGCTTTCGTGCGCATCCTGAGAGATCATCGTTTTTCGGCTACTCAACCAATCGGCGTCGGACGTCGTGGTATGGCTCTGTATAAGGACTCGTTCTCTCCCAGAAAATGAATTAAACTTACAAGAGCTTCTTAATATATTTGCTTAATGGGGTCCGCGTCAGTGCTGGGCCACCAGTGACACATTGAAAACGTAGCCTTAGTCAGGTCCCCCTTTGATATACCCGGGATCATCATTCCGGGTGGCTTGGGTTTATGCATCGGCAATAAAAAGGACGCCTGATGCCTGAATGTTTGGACCTCCTAACTCAGGTCCGCTCCCAAAGTGTGAGGGGTCCTATTATCTCTAATCAGCGGCGGTCTTCGGACGGGGCCATGACGAGGATAAATCCGCCCCAGAGCATTCCGGAACGCTCTCAGACGTGCGTCATTTTGGCGCGCGCTGCCACCCAGGGTCATTTCTCGGAGGAGGAATGGGTACCCATACCGTTGCCCTTTCCTCGTTTCCGCCGCTTTGAGCGTCCTGTGAGGCCCTCGTCGCCACCGCAGGATTCGCCTCGAAATTTTGTCTAGGGGGTAATTAATATCTTTTGGTTTCCCTAATTTCGATCCAGTCGATCCGATTCGATTCCGATGTCGGCTGGCTCGGACCCGATTCGATCCCGATCATCCCACGATCCGACGCGGCCCGATGACTGCATGGCACTGTTGTGCATCCTGATGCAGTCGATCCGATTCGGTTCCGACTCCGTGCCGATTCGGTCCGATCCGATGCGCGCTCCGATTCGATCTGATGTTCCGATTCGATGCTGATCGATCCTGCCTCCTTCGAGTAGGGGATCGACTACACAATTGATTTACCCCAGACTCTCGTCGAGCTACGAACAGTCTACGCACGTCTGATGGACTCGGCGAGGGCTCGTCGGACGGGGCCATAGGACGAGGAGAAGTCCGTTCCAGAGTCCCCCCGAACGCTCTCTGAGCGCTCCGGGACTCTCTGAGAGGGCCGCGGCGCCAGGGGCATCCTCCAGAGCCGCTGGATCTCAGAGATTCTCGATGTGTCTTGACACGAACTCATCCTCAGAGATTCTCGATTTGTCGATCTGTCGATCCTCATCCCTCAGAGATGCTCGATTTGTCAGAGATCCTCACCCCTCAGAGAGTCTCGATTTTGATGTGTCACGAGCTCCTCCTCGTCCCAGCCTCGTCTTCGGGTGCTGCCGGCGTGCGCCCCAGCCGCCTCGCGAAGCCCTGGGCGGCTTCTGCCCCGGCGGGCATCTGCGCCGCCCACGGGGCGGGGTCGAGGGAGGGGGCGCCCGGGGAGGAGCCCGGGGGCAGGAGGAGGCGAGAGGTGGTCCGCGGCGGAGGCGAGCTCCTCCTCCTCCTCCTCCCTCCTCCTCCTCCTCCTCCTCCTCGTCCTCCTCCTCGTCCTCTCTCCTCCCCCTCCTCCTGCTTCTCCTCCTCCTCCTCCTCCCTCCTCCTGCTCCTCCTCCTCCTCCTCCTCCTGGCCCTGGCGAGAGTCAGGAGCGGGCGGCTCCGCGAGCGAAAGCGGAGCGCGAGCTGCTCGGGTGCCGGGCGATTCGCACAGGCCGAGCGAGGCGGAGCGAGCGGCCGGCCGTGCCGCCCCGCCCCCTGGCAGCCTCGATATCCCCCCTTCTCCACCTCTCTCTCTGCTGCACCCCTTAAAACGACGCGAAGATCGGGACAAAATCGGATCGGGATAACTCGGAATCTCTGAGAATCGGCGGGTTTGGAGGATGTATTGGGCGCCGCGGGCGCTCCAGAGCGCTCCGGAACGCTCTGAGAGCGCTCCGGAACGCTCTGGAGCGATTTATCCCGATCCTAGCCCTGCTTTAACCTCTCTCTCTGCTGCACCCCTCGCGCCCTGTCGCCGCCGAGGTTCGAGGATCGGTGCTCGAGCTTCTCTATATCTTTGTCTGCGGGGCTTTCGAGTGATGCGGGCCCTCTCCGGGCCTCCGGGGGCCTCGGAGGCCTCCCCGCGTCTCGGTTTCCCCTCGCCCCCCGCCTTTCCGCTCTCAGCCCCTCCACCTCTCACCAGTGCTGCCTGGTCCAGGATGAGAATGAGGAGTGTCGAGGATCGAGGGTCGAGGGTTTGTCGAGGATCGAGGGTCGAGGATGGTGAGAATGAGGAGTGTCGAGGATCGAGGGTGGAGGGTTTGGAGGGCTTTGGCAATCGTGTGGTCGCCCGTTCTGTTCGCGTTTCCTCCCTTCTCTTATGTGCCCTGTTCCTCCCCCTCCTTTTCCTGCCCTGTCTTCTGCATACGCTTTGCAGGATGCGCCGCAACGGCCAAGCATAGATATACAAGTTGCAAGAAGACTCGGCGATCCAGGGCTTTGTATTTCCATCTGGTTTGGCCCTCACTTCTACAATGTTTTGCCACCTCTGCGGTTGCAGAGGGGACGCTGACTGGCAATCACGTATAATCGTAATGGGAACGGCACGCAAGCCACACAGTTACAAAGTACAGTTCAACAACGCAGTCAAATACAGTCAAACAATATTGTATCAAGCCAGTCCAAATTTTCAAACTCATTGCGCCCACTCTCAAAACGCAGACGATTCGTCTAAGCTCGTTGAGTGGCGGAAGCCTTAACCACGCAGCGTGGGCAAGCGTGCGTGGGCATTGGTTGCGCCTCGCCGCTGACGACCCGTGTGCTGCCGCAGGTGGAGTCTGGAAGTGAGAGCGTGGGATCCAAGCTCATGTTGGGTGTGGAGGAACGTGGAGTGTTGTTCCTCCCCGCTCTGGATAAACAAAACGGGTGCGGAAAGAATGGGTGCGAAGACTAACAGCATTTCCTGCCCATTTTGAATCGGATGCGATGTCGGCGTCGCCGCGGACGTTGTCTTCTTGAGACAAGAACGGCGATTGTCCAATTGCGGCCGCTGTCGCTTTTGGACAATATTTGCTGTTGGGCATCGTACCCATTTTTTCCGTACCCGTTGCGGGCGCGCAAATCCACCCTCCTATTGACGCTCCCACTTTCCTTGTCGTACCTCATGGTCTGCCGATGTAGAGCTTCGCTGACAATCATTTCGGCGCTAGCTAGCGCAGATGTTCCGGGTCCACCAGTGGCGCGTGGTGAAGACACTTTGCACATCTCACAGGGGGCACGGTCTGAAGCTTTGTTCTTGTCACTTCGGTTGCTCTGCACAGGGCGTGATACGCCGTGATTGGCAAGACCCCCATCTCACGCACTTTGCCGCCCTATCACGCGCCTTCCCGAATCCTCTTTTACTCGTCCTGCGGAGACTCGGCACCGACCATGCCTCCCCAGACGACGCTCGCCCAGCCCTCGTACGCAGGATGACCCTCCCTCCCCGTCCTGGTTTCCTGTGCGTGCCCCGCCTTCCTCCCGCCTCATTGCCCCGTCTTGGATTTGTCCCCACTTCCGTTGCCACCCGTCGTCCTTTTTTTTTTCCTCTTCCCCGTCTTGCTCTCGCCCCCATCCATCATCAGCATCATCATCATCATCATCATCAGCAGCATCAGCATCAGCATCAGCATCAGCATCAGCATCATCATCAGCACCGTCGTCATCGTCATCGTCGTTGTCATCATCATCGCCATTATCATCATCTTCGACATCATCATCCTTATTATCATTTTTATCATCATCATCACCATCATCATCATACTCGTCATCGTCATCCTCATCGTCGCCATCATCGCCATCGTCATCATCATCAACATCATCATCATCATCATAATCATCATCATCATCATCGTCGTCATCATTATCCGCATTCTTATCATCAGCATCATCATCATAATCACCATCATCATCCATTTCAGCATAATCATCATCATCAGCAGCATCATCATCATCATCAACAGCAGCACCAGCATCACTATCATCTTCAGCACCAGCATTATATTCATCACCATCACCATCATCAACATTATCATCATCATCCCCGTACTCATTCTCCCCATTATCATCATCAGAAGCAGCGCGATCATCATCAGTAGTATTACTATCATCATTGTCATGTTCATTGTCAGTATACTCCTCATCATGAGTTTCATCATCTGTATCATCGTCAGCAGCATCATCATCGTCATCATTATCATTATCAGCATGATCATCATCAACATCATCGTCGTCGTGTTCATCGTGTTCGTCATCGTCATTCGTTGTCACCGTCATCGTCGAACTCCTCCGCCTCCGTCTTCTCCTGTTTCATCTGGCGTTCCCCGCCCGAGCCCGCTCCGGCCCGCCAGGAGCACTGGGCGAAGCTGATCGTCCGTTTGGTCGAGGATAACAGGAGGAGGAAGAGGAGGAAGTGGAGGAGGTCGCTAGAAGGAATGTGTGATCGAAGACGTCTACGGCGAACCATCGCCGCCCCCTACCTTTTAGAGTCGCCTATGTGGGCGAGCGCTGTGGCAAGAGCTCTGCCAAGCCATCGGACCATGTGTTCCTCCAACCGTTGTGGAAACCCTTCGGGGAACACTTAGGGGAGGATGGCGGAGAAGATCAGGAGGAGAAGGAGGAGGAGGAGGAGGAGGCAGCATCTTGGGAGCCTCTGGGGGCACTCTTGGGACCTCCTGGGAGCTTCCTGGGAGCCTCTTGGAGGCATCTTGTGGGCATCCTTGGGCCTCTTGGGAGCCTTTGGGGGCTTCTCGGAGGCTTCTTTGGCTGTCTCAGGGCATTCCTGGCCCGTCCGACGCCGTCGGAAGCCGTCTTGGGGGCCTCTTTGGGCCGATTTGGGGCCCTCTTGGGGTGCTCCAGGGCCGTCTTGGAGGCCATCTTGGGCGTCTTGGAGGCCTGTTGGGCCGTTTCGGAGCCCTCTTGGGGCCGTCTTGGAGGCCTCTTGGGCTGTTCTGGGGCCATCCTCGAGGCGTCTTGGGCGATCTTCGGGCGCTCTTGGGCCGTCTCGGGCCGTCGAAAGGCGGAAAAGAAACACACACCATCATCTTTCAAAAACGTAAGGAACAATGATTTTGGCCCATTCGGGCCTTCCTGGATGCCCTCTTGGAGCCGCAATGGGGCTTAATTCCTCCTTACCCCTTCCGACGAAGACCTCCCAGCAGTGGCTTCCTAACCAAAGGAAGCGGACAGCGCGGGAACCAGCAAGGGAAGCGGACAACGCGGGGACCGACGTTCAGGCGCTGTTCGGGGGGTACCCGTCGTCGACGATTTTTCGAAGCTGTTTGCGTATTGGGGGGGTATTTTTTGGGGGGGGTATTTTTCATGGTTCGTCCAAAAAATCCCCCTGTAGGGGGACATGCCCGACCTACGTTTCGACCGCGGCGCGCCAACCCTGCTTGGCACTGCTTGGCGTTGCTTGCGATTGCCCGTCGATGGTTCGGCATTGTCCAGGAAGGAACATTTGATGTTGTTTTGTTCTGAGCTCTCGGCCCCACTCGCGTGGTTTGCTTTCGCACCCCCATGCATTCCGGCCCTGCGCGGAGGCGTGCGCACGAAAGCGGGTCGTAGTATATGCAGGATCTCGGTGCATAAGCATTGCGTAGTTTCCCCAGGCATTCGCGCCCCAAATTGTAGGGATTCGAATTCTATACATCGACGCCCTATTCGGCCCTGCGCGGAAGCTTGCGCAGGAAAGCGGATCCTAGCGCGTGCGGGTTTCGGGATTTTGGCGCGTGCGGGAAACGGAAACCAACATTATACACCACACCACCCCGACGTCGGCCCCGACTTTCAAAAAGTCGTGGGATTGGAAAGCAGCCCGCCACTCGTAATGTACGTGTTTTTTGTTTCCGACCTTGTTTAATTACAGGAAGTAAAAAAAGAGTTTGATTGGTTCAGGAAGGAAAAATGAGCACACCCACGCACGCCTCCCTCTCTCTCTCTCTTTCTCTTTTTCTCTCTCTCTCTCTCTCTCTATATATATGTACATATCACAGATATACATTACATACATACAATCGCCGATGCCCTTGAAAATATGGGAAACTATGGGAAATGGGGGGGGGGGCGAGAATCCAGAAAATATGCGGAAATATGTGAAATCTTTTGATTTTGTGTTTATTTATTGACTCGCTTCGCTCATTCCGCCGGCCCCTGGCCGAGTGGTCGTCGGCAGTGCGCCTCTTGGGGGGTTCTTGAGGGCCTCGTGGGGTCGCTTGGGGCCTCTCGGGGGCATCTTGGGGGCCTCTTGGGGCCTTTCGGGTGCCTGTTTGGAGCTTTTTGGGGGCTTCTTGGGGGCATCCATGGGACCTCTCTGCGCGTAGAGCTCAGAATGTCCGGTCGGGTCCCCCGTCTGGGCCCGCTCTTGGAACCGTCTTGGGAGCCTCTTCGGCCCTCTTGGAGGCCTTTGGGGCTGTCTTGGGGCCCCCTGGGGCCGTTTTGGGCCCTCTTGGAGGCCTCTTGGGCTGTGCTGGGGCGATCATGGAAGCCTCTTGGGCCGTCTTGGAGCGCTTGTAAGCCCCCGAGGCGAGAACGCTAGAAACCATCAAAAACTACAACAAACTTATCATTTTCTGCCAATGTGGGCCCTTTTGGGAGGTCTCTTGGAGGCCTCTGGGGGTGTCTTGTAGGCGCTTTGGGCTGTCTGGAGGCCATCTTTGGCGTCTTGGATCGCTTTTGGGCCGTCTCGGGCAATGTTGAGCTCTTTTGGAGGCCATTCGAAGAGCTCCTGGAACGCTTTTGGGAGCCTGCTGGGACCTTCCCGGGACCTTGCTAGAACCTTGCCGAGATTTGCAGGGACCTTGCCGGGACTTGCCAGGACCTTGCCAGGGTACTTTTTGCCCGGGGACTCCCAGGGGCGGCCCCGCGCGCTCGAACTAGAATATTGTTAACCTGTCACCGGAGATCTTAGCACGCCTTTGGCCGTTGGTCCAGCGAATTTGTGTGTCTTTGGGCCCCTTTATATGTCGATGGCCTCAAGAGTCGTCCTTGGGGGGGGACATGCGCGGGGGGGAGGCGAAGATAGCCGCGCCTCGCTCTGGCGCGCAGCCCGACATGAGATGCATGGTGCCCTGGGAGTGACCTGGCGGCTCTGTGTCGCTCTTGCGCCAGTTTGGCGCCAGGTGGGCGTACCAGTCTGTTCGCGCTGGCATCCAGAGAGAGTGAAACTCGAGCGCCGCACAGTCTCACCAGCCACTTGTGAATATCAGCCGACAGCATTGCACAAAGTGATGGGGCTTCATGCGAACTGCCTGGGCCGTCCTACCGACACGCTGGCTGGAGTGGTGCGAGGAGTTGGAGGAGGCAAAGGAGGAGGAGGCGGAGGAGGAGGAGGTGGAGAAGGAAGAGGAGGAGGAGGAAGAGGAGGAGGAGGCGGAGGAGGAGGAGGAGGAGGGGGGTGAGGAGGAGGAGGAGAAGGAGGAGGAGGAGGACGAGGAGGAGGAGGAGGACGGGAACGAGGACAAGGACGAGGACGAGGAGGGAGAGGAGGAGAAGGAGGAGGAAGAGGAGGAGGAGGAGAAGAAGGAGGAGGAACAGGAGAAGGAGGGCGAGAATGAAGGAGAGGAGGATGCAGCAGGGGAGGATGTGTCTCGAACAAAATGCTTGGTCCATTCACCCAGCTGCCGGGGGGGGAGGGCGGGCCTCCACAATCCGGGAGGAGGAGGAGGAGGACCAGAGGAGCAATGTGCTCCGCGCGGACTCCACAGACGAGGGCCGGCATACTCTGGAGACCTCCCGTTCGGGAGCCTCGAGACGGGGGTCCATGCAAACGGGGGAGCAATGTGCTCCGCGCGGACTCCACAGACGAGGGCCGGCATACTCTGGAGACCTCCCGTTCGGGAGCCTTGAGACGGGGGGTCCATGCAAACGGGGTCAGCCAGGGCGCCAGATTCCGCAGAATCCTGCAGAGCCAGGGTCGCATTGACCCGGGAGTTGGCGCAGGATCCCGCAGGATCTTGCAACGCCTGACCGACCCGGGTCTGGATTGACCCTGGGTCAGTAGATCCCCGACCCGTGCTCACACCAGTTTGTTCGTAGGAGTCTCCGGTCCCCGCCCCCTCCCTGGAGCTCTTGGGCGAGATCCTCAGCCCATCGCAGCATGACGCTTAGGACGAAGGTAATATGGAGAGGTGTTGGTATGTCGAATAATAGGTTACGGAAACAGGTAAACAACAACATATTCGACATATGTAAATCAAAGGACATCATGGTATAATGTGTCAGCGGTCAAACGCACGCGGTTTTTGCGGTGCGCAGCGAGTGCCTTGCCGAGAAAGCCGATTGTCATGGCAGCTCAGGGCGATCATGCGTCTTGCAGCGGCGCGCGGAATCGGCTTCCATGGTTCGGTTTTGTAGTCTCTCGCCGCGGGGCGCGCCATTAATTGGCGCGGCGCGGGGCCTGGCGTCGCTTGCGCGTGTTCAGCAAATTATTGGCGAAGGGCCCGCCCATCTGCAGTTCTGATCACAGTTTCTGGTCGAATTTTTTCGGGGGCCAGGGGGCGCGTGACAGGGGCGCACCGACATGAACCAGGGCCGCCGCGCGAGCGGTGCCAGCGGGGTCGCGGTTTTCAGCGGAGCTCCCTGCGTGGCCACGACGCGCGTGACAGTTGCGCAAATATGCCGCGCCCAGCCGTTGCCGCTAGGGCCTTCGGCGTGGTCCCCCGTCGAGCCGCGAACTGCGCGAGTGTTCTGCAGGTGCTGCGCGCGGCCGCCGCCTCTGGGGCCTTCGGTGGATGCCCCCATGGGGCCGCGACGCGCGCGAGCGGTGCCCAGGTTCGCGCGCGGCCGCTGACGCTGGGACCTTTGGCGGGTTTCCTTATTTGGGCCATCGAACGCTCGAGGGGTGCGCAACTGCCGCGCGCGGCTGATGCGCGAGGGGGGGGGGGGGGGAGATCGGATGGGGGGGGGCTTGGGAGGGAGGTGGGCGGGGGGAAAGGGGCGAGGGACAGGGGGGTCCACGTCGTCGGCGGTAGTCTGGGGGGCGTTCTTGCTGGCTTACTCGCAAGCCGCACGGCGGCAGCCGCGCGGGCCGCGGCGGCGTGCTCACGACGTCGTCGGCGCGCGGGGGGACGCAGGACGTTTTGCCATCTGCATTCGCGCGATCATGGTACAGTAGCCATATGAGAGTTTGGGTCGCAGAAGTGTTGGGTGGCCCGTGGCCCTTTGCAGTGGCGAGTCGGCCTGTAGCTTCGCGCGGCCCGGGCCCGCCTCCGGAGGCGGACTTTCACCCGCTTCATCGCGCTGTTCCCCTCGTCACGAGGGCCCGTTCTCAGCAGCCCCGTCGAGGCTGTTCTAGCCGCCGCCCCCGCGCAAGTTCTAGTCGCCCACCTTTCCCGCCCTCTGCGCACCCTCTTCGCCCAGCGTTATTTTCCGGGCGATGCCGCGAGCCTGCCCCTTCTCCTGCTCCTCGCTCGCGGGTTTCATCGGCCTTGTCGTCGTTTTCCTGGCGCCGTCGTTCCTGTCAGCGGCTGCGCTGCTGCTTGTGCCCCCTTGTCTGCCTTCCGCCGCATCGCCGCCGCCGCTGCCGTCGCAGACGCGGCGTCGGAGATGTGCAGATTCGGCGGGGTCTGCGTCGTCGACTCGCAAGCGAGGCGTTCGAGTTGTCCGGGGTGGATCGCCCTTGGGCGAGTGCGCGCAGTTGCGTTTCGCGCGCGCCGCGTGCCGCCGCGCTAATCCAGCGAGCGGTTTCTGCGTAATTATGCAGCGGGGGCGTATTTCTCACAGATGACGCAACGCATCTTTTTCTTAGATGTTCCACGCAGTGTAATGTTTTCTTGAATACCCAGCCTGTCCACGAGTAGCTGCTTTTTAGCGCGACGCCACTGCCGCTCCAGAAGAGGGGGGGGGGTCGCGCGAGCGTCGTCTTCGCCGAGGCGATGAGCGGCGCCCGCGGCGCCAGAGACAGACGTTAGCTGAACCAGATGCACTCGGGCGTTGCTAGAAGTGCCCCCTGGTCCAAGGCGCCTCCAGGATTTGCAGGGGGGCCCCCGCGGCCTCCAGAGCACCCCTCGCGAGGCCCAGAGGGCCGCAGGGGCTGCAAAAGCCCTTGGCCCAAGGCGCCTCCAGGATATGCAAAGGGGGCCCCCGCGGCCTCCAGGGCGCCCCTCACGCGGCCCGGAGCCCAAGGGGCTGCAAAACGGAGCGACAAGCTGGGGGCACCTTTGGCCGGGGGCGCCTCCGGCAACCCCCGACGCATGATCGCAGGACTCGTGCGTGTGGGTGGCCATCTAGGCGCCGAGCATGCGGGCCCCGTGTCCACCCATGCGCGGCGAAGGGATTAGTGCGGTTCGTGCCGAAGCACCCGTGCCACCCTTTTTTTTCAGGGGTGGACAGACCCCCTCCCCTGAAACGTCGATTAGCGAATTGGCCGTTTTCGGTTCGCGAGAGGGCGTCGCGGCCGTCATTTTTGCGGGTCCGGGTCCGTCGGTTTCGGTCGAAGGCCGTTGTCCTTTAAAGGTGGTGTATTAAGGGAAGGTCTGTCCACCGCCGAAATACAACGGCCTTTGGCGTTTACTAAACAGCTCTGCCCTGTTTTACTCCTTTTTTGGGTGCGTTTACTAAGCGGCTTCAGGCGTCGGGGTGGTTCCTATCGGCGTTGATTTTTGTCTACTGCTCTGTGACAGAAGCGGGGGTGCACCCACGAGAAGCAGTGCAGGTGTTGCTAGGCATCTGTTCGGCGGTGACACGCCAGACGTGGGGAGCCCGCGAAAACGACGCGCGGGCATCACGCCAAGGCCCGCCGCCCCTTGCAGAACGACGGTTTTCGCGGCTGCGCTGGTATCCGAGAGCTCGCGCACCGAGGAATTGCAGTGATTCTTCTCGCCAAGCGCGCGTTTGCGGGCGCCGCCCCTCTTATCCCCCCTTGGGAGGCGGTTCCTCTGCTTCCGTTATCCTCCTTTGCTGGCGCTGCCAGGCCCCTCCTCCGTGCACGGGCGGATATCAGACCTGAAGACGCGTGCCCCACTTGGAGCCATCCAGAAACCCGACCCCCCCCAGAGCCATGCCGAAGGAATTCTTCCCCAGTCTTCCCCCTGCGTGCTGCCTCCTCCTGCTGTTGCTCCTCCTGCCTCCTCCTGGAGGCACGGGGAGGGGCCTCGACGCCCCAGCGCCGGGGAGGACATGCAGATCCTTAAGGAGATGGGGTCGATCTCGTACGCGCTGGAGGCGGGCGCCCACTACCACCCAGGAGGATGGAGGGTAGGACGAAGGAGGACGGGGAGGGAGAAAGAGGAGAGAGAGAGAGAGAAGGGGGCCTCTCGCTGGCCTCCGTCAGTGTCAGTCATACCCTGGTGAAGAATGCCCTCTGTGATGGCCCCCCTTGGCAGGCGTTTGTCAGAATCGAGGGGTGGATGTCTGGGACGGAGCACCAGGGAGAGCCGACGCGGGCCGCCTGCGAACCGACACAGTTAGGGTGGCCGCTGCGCAGCCATGGCGGCCCTGGGTTTACCTCTCGCCTGCGCGCTGCCCGCTTTGGGGCCGGTTTTCTTTCAAACCGCCTTTACCGGGGGGGAAGCGGGGCGGCGAGAGGGCTGGCATCCTTACGATTCGCGCTGGCGCCGTCTGGGAGTTTGCTACCCCCAGCACTTCCCAAACGGCGCCAGCGTGGATCGTGACGTCATTGGGTAGGGTGGGGGGAGCATCCCCGGTAATGGCCGCTATTGCGAAGGCGCTCTTTCGAAAGGGGGGGGCTCCAGGGACTGGCACTGGCAGACCAGCCAGGACTGGGGGGGGGGGGATGTGGCCTTTGCCCTTCTGGAGGACGCATCGGCCTCAGCACCCATCTCGAGAGGTCGTCGACATACGAGGGGTTCCCTCCGAGGGGGCAGGAACATTTGTTTCGCCATCCGGCGACGCCCTGTGGCACAGAAGCCAGAAGGGAGGGGGGCGGGGGAGCCGGGAGGAAAGCTCCAGGCGCGCGGCTCGCAGCCCAGGTGTGTGCATTTGATTATCCGTAAGGGCTTCGCCCCTTGCCGCCGGCCCCCTCTCTCATACTGGGATATCACAGAGTCGCGTCGGTGCGTCTCAGCGCTGCCTTGGCGCATCTGGGAGCAGCATGCGGGGGCAGATAGGAGTCATCAGCGCACATTGAAGCGTGCGTTCTCGAAGGCGCCTACGGCGTGTCACCGCCGCCCCCTGCCTTTTTGGAAGCGCCTGCGTGGCCGAAAGTTGGGTTTGAGCTTGGCCAAACTATCGGGCCAGTTCCCCGAGTGGGTTTCGAAAGCCTTGGGAGAACACAGAGTCGGGCGAGCTGTCGGACAACACCAGGACGTCGTGGGGGGGTCTTGGGCTGTCTTGAAGGCCTCTTGCGGGCCTTTTGGGCAGTCAAAGGCCGTCTTGAGGCCATCTGGGGCCGTCGTGGGTGCATCTTGGGGCCATTTTCGCTGTCTTGGAGGCCGTCTTGGCCGTCTTGGAGGCATCTTGGAGGCCATCTGGGCCGTTTTGGAGGCCATTTTCGGCGTCTTCGGGGCCATTTTGGGCCGTCTTGGGCTCTTCTTGGGGGCCTCTTGGGGGCCTCTTGGGCTGTCATGGGGCCATCTTGGAGGCCTATTGGGCACTCTTGGGACGATGTTGGGGGCCTATTTGGCCGTCTTGGGCCGTCTGAGAGCTGATAAGAAGAAAATGCCACAATCCTTCAAAAATCAAAGGAACATCAATGATTTTTGCCCTTTCTGACTTTCCTGGAGGACATCTTGGAGCGCTCTTGGGCCGTCTTGGAGGCCTCTTCTGGGCCTTTTGGGCCGTCTTCGACAACTTTGAGGCCATCTGTGGCCGTCTTGGGTGCATCTCTTGGGGCCATCCTAGCCGTCTTGGAGGGCATCTCGGCCGTCTTGGAGGCATCTTGGAGGCCATCTTGGGCCATCAGGGCGATTTTGAAAGCCATCTTGAGCCGTCTTGGCAGAATGTTTGGGAGAATTATGAGCTCTTCGGATGGCCGGCGGGACAGGCCGAAGCCCCAGAGGGAGTTCTGATGGAAAAGAATCAAAACCAAAGGCGAACAGATCTAGCACGCCGGGGCGGCGGATCGAAGACACCTCCGGCGAATCACCGCCGCCCCCTGCCTTTTTGGAAGCGCCTGCGTGGCCAAACGTTGGGTTTGAGCTTGGCCAAACTATTGGGCCACGCGTTCCCCGAGAGGGTTTCGAAAGCCTTCGGGGAACACGGAGTCGGGCGAACTATCGGACCAGGTGGTTTCCGAGCTTTCAGGTTTCCTGGAGGACGTCTTGGAGGGCTCTTGGGCTGTCTTGGAGGCCTCTTGCGGGCCCTTTGGGCAGTCTAAGGTCTTGAGGCCATCTGGGGCCGTCGTGGGTGCATCTTGGGGCCATTTTCGCTGTCTTGGAGGCCGTCTTAGCCGTCTTGGAGGCATCTTGGAGGCCATCTGGGCCGTTTTGGAGGCCATCTTCGGCGTCTTCGGGGCCATTTTGGGCCGTCTTGGGCTCTTCTTGGGGGCCTCTTGGGGGCCTCTTGGGCTGTCACGGGGCCATCTTGGGACGATGTTGGGGGCCTCTTGGGCCGTCTTGGTCCGTCGGAGAGCTTATAAGAAAATGCCTAAATCCTTAAAACAAAACCGATGGGAAATCAATGTTTGTTGCCCTTTCGGGCCTTCCTGGAGGACGTTTTGGAGGCCTCTTGGGGGCCTGTTGGATAGTCTGAGGCCATCTTGGAGCCATCTTGGGCCGTCTTGGAGGCTTCTTGGACGAACTGGAAGGCATCTTGGACTTTCTCGGGCCGTCTTGGAAGCCATCTTGGACCATCTTCGGCGACTTGGAGGCCATCTTGGAGGCCATCTTGGGCCAACGTGTCCATCTTAAAGGCCATCTTGAGCCATCTTGGAGAATTGTTTCCGGTCGTTGGGGTGGTTAATGCTGCCGTGTGCGGCCTTTCGGGTGGCCGGCGGGACGGGCCGAATCCCCAGGGAGAGTTCCCAGACCAAAACCAAAGGCGAAAGGATTCAGCACGCCGGGCACCCCTGTGATGAATCAACAGGGGGCGGCGGATCGAAGACGCCTACGGCGAATCACCGCCGCCCCCTGCCTTTTTGGATGCGCCTATGTGGCCGAACGTTGAGGCCAGACCTGCCAAGCTATCGGACCATGTGTCCCCGAATCGGTTTGGAAGTCTTCGAGGAACACGTGGGCATCTTGAAGATCATCTTGGCCGTCTGGAGGCCATTTGACCCTTTTGTGCCTTCTTGGAGGAGGTCTTGGAGGCCTCTTGGGTCGTCTTTGTGCCCTCTTGGGGCCGTCTTGGGCCTCTTGGGCGATCTTTGGGGGCACTTGGGCCGTCTCGGGCCGTCGGAAGGCTGAAGAAAAAGCAAAAATGCCACAATCCTTCAAAAACTCTTGGGAAATCAATGATTTCAGCCTTTTCGGGCATTCCTGGAGACCCTCTTGGAGGCCTCTTGGGCCGTCTTGGGCCATCTTAGTGCCATCTTCGGCTGTCTTGGTGGGCCCCTGGCCCGTCCGACGCCGTCGGCAATCGTTTGGGGGGCCTCTATGGGCCGACTTGGGGCCCTCTTGGAATGCTCCGGGGCCGTCTTGGAGGCCATCTTGGGCGTCTTAGAGCCTCCTGTGCCGTCTTGGGGGCCTCTTGGGGCCGTGGGGCCTCTTGGGCCGTTCTAGGGCCATCTTGGAGGGATCTTTCGGCGATCTTTGGGGGCTCTTGGGCCGTCTCGGGCCGTCGGAAGTCCGAAACGAAGTAAATGTCAAAATGCTTCAAAAACTTATGGGAAACCACTGTTTTGGCCTTTTCTGGCCTTCCTGGAGGCCCTCTTTGGGGCCTCTTGGGCCGTCTTGGGCCAGTTTCGAGCCAACTTCGGCCATCTTGGTGGGCTCCTGGCCCGTCTGACGCGGGGAGTTATTTTGGAAAAGAACCAAAACCAGAACCGAAATCGTTTAGCACGCCAGGCACCCCTGCGATGAATCGACCGGCGGCGGCGGATCGAAGACGCCTACGGCGAATCACCGTCGCCCCCTGCCTTTTTGGAAGCGCCTATGTCGCCGAACGTTGAGGCCAGACCTGCCAAGCTATCGGACCATGTGTCCCCTGAGTCGGTTTGGTCTTCGGGGAACACGTGGGCATCTTGAAGGTCATCTTGGCCGTCTGGAGGCCATTTTGACCCTTTTGTGCCTTCTTCGAGGGCGTCTCGGAGGGCTCTTGGGCCGTCTTGGAGGCCATTTTGAGCGTCTTGGAGACCTCCTGGGCCGTCTTGGGGGCCTCTTGGGGCCGTGTCTTGGGCCTCTTGGGCGATCTTTGGGGGCACTTTGGCCGTCTCGGGCCGTCGGAAGGCTGAAGAAAAAGCAAACATGCCACAATCCTTCAAAAACTCTTGGGAAATCAATGTGTTTGGCCTCTTCTGGCCTTCCTGGAGGCCCTCTTGGGGGCCTCTCGGGCCGTCTTGGGCCAGCTTCGAGCCAACTTCAGCCATCTTGGTGGGTTCCTGCCACTTCTGACGCCGTCGGGAGCCGTCTTGGGGGCCTTTCTGGGACGACTTGGGGCCCTCTTGGGGCGCTTCGGGGCCATCTTGGAGGCCATCTTGGGCGTCTTGGAGGCCACCTTGGGCGTGTTGGAGGCCTCTTGGGCCGTCTTTGGGCCCTCTTGGGGGCCGTCTCGGGCCTCTTGGGCCGTCACGGGGCCATCTTGGGGGCCTCTTGGGCGATTTTGGGGACCTCTTGGGCCGTCTTGAGCCGTCGGAATGCCGAGAAGAAGCACATGCCGAAATCCTTCAAACACCGCAGGAAAATCAATGATTTTGGCCTCGTCGGGCCTTCTGGGAGGCCTCTTGGGCCGTCTTGGAGGCCTCTTGCGGGCCTTTTGGGCCGTCGTAGACCATCTTGAGGCCATCTTGGGCCGTCTTGGGTGCATCTTGGAGCCATCTTAGCCGTCTTTGAGGCCATCTTGGTTGTCTTGGAGGCATCTTGGAGGCCATCCTGAGCCATCTTGGCCGTCTTGGAGGCCATCTTGGGCCAACGTTGGGCAACAAAGGCATTGACATGCGGATTCTCGGGAATCTCCCAGGACCCCGGCGGGACGGGCCGAGGCCCCAGGGGGAGTTCCCTTTTGGAAAAAAAGCCAAAACCAAAAACCGAAATCGTTTAGCACGCCAGGCACCCCTGCGATGAATCGACAGGGGGCGGCGGATCGAAGACGCCTACGGAGAATCACCGTCGCCCCCTGCCTTTTTGGAAGCGCCTATGTCGCCGAACGTTGAGGCCAGACCTGCCAAGCTATCGGACCATGTGTTCCCCGAATCGGTTTGGCCTTCGGGGAACACGTGGGCATCTTGAAGGTCATCTTGGCCGTCTGGAGGCCATTTTGACACTTTTGTGCCTTCTTGGAGGGCGTCTTGGAGGGCTCTTGGGCCGTCTTGGAGGCCATTTTGAGCGTCTTGGAGACATTTTGGGCCGTCTTGGGGGCCTCTTGGGGCCGTGTCTTGGGCCTCTTGGGCGATCTTTGGGGGCACTTGGGCCGTCTCGGGCCGTCGGAAGGCAGAAGACAAGTAAATGCCACACTCCTTCAAAAATCAATGGGAAATCAATGATTTTGGCCGTTTCGGGCCTTCCTGGAGGCCCTCTTGGAGGCCTCTTGGACCGTCTTTGGCCGTCTTAGGGCCATGTTCGGCCGTCTTGGTGGGCTCCTGGCCCGTCTGACGCCGTCGGAAGCCGTTTGGGGGGCCTGTATGGGCCGACTTGGGGCCCTCTTGGAATGCTCCAGGGCAGTCTTGGAGGCCATCTTGGGCGTCTTAAAGGCCTCCTGTGCCGTCTTGGGGGCCTCTTGGGGCCGTCTTGGGGGCCTCTTGGGCCGTTCTGGGGCCATCTTGGAGGCCTCTTGGGCGATCTTTCGGCGATCTTTGGGGGCTCTTGGGCCGTCTCGGGCCGTCGGAAGGCCGAAAAGAAGCAATTGTCAACATCCGTCAAAAACCCAAGGGAATTCAATGTTTTGGCCTTTTCTGGCCTTCCTGGAGGCCCTCTTTGGGGCCTCTTGGGCAGTCTTGGGCCAGCTTCGAGCCAACTTCAGCCATCTTGGTGGGTTCCTGCCACTTCTGACGCCGTCGGGAGCCGTCTTGGGGGCCTTTCTGGGCCGACTTGGGGCCCTCTTGGGGCGCTTCGGGGCCGTCTTGGAGGCCATCTTGGGCGTGTTGGAGGCCTCTTGGTCTGTCTTTGGGCCCTCTTGGGGGCCGTCTCGGGGGCCTCTTGGGCCGTCACGGGGCCATCCTGGAGGCTTCTTGCGTGATTTTGGGGCGATCTTGGGGGTCCCTTGGGCCATCTGGGGCCGTCGGAAAGCCGAAAAGGCGCAAATACCAAAAACCTCCAAAAACCAAAGGAAAATCAATGATTTTGACCTCTGCGGGCCTTCCTGGAAGACCTCTTGGAGGCCTCTTGAGCCGTCTTGGAGGCCTCTTGGGGGCCTCGTGGGCCGTCTTGGGCCATCTTCAGGCTATCTTAGGCCGTCTAGGGTACATCTTGGGCCGTCTTGGAGGCATCTTTGGGCCATCTGAGCCGTCTTGGAGGCCATCTTGGCCGTCTTGGAAGCATCTTGGCCGTCTTGGAGGCCATCTTGGGGCCGTCTGGCAGGAAAACCGTTGGCAACCGGGTCTTCCGGGTGGCCGGCGGGACGCGCCGGAGCCCCAGGGGGACTTCTTTTGGAAAAAGAGCCAAAATCAAAACCGAGAAGGTCTAACACGCCAGGCACCCCTTTGATGAATCAACAGGGGGCGGCGGATCCTGATGTCCTTCGGCCCATCCCGCCACCGTGCCTGGGTTGTGGGTCTGAGGCCTCTCGTATATGTGTTGGGATGTCGTGGGGAGCCTCTCGGGGGCCTCTTGGAGGCGGTTTGCGCGCCTCTTGGGGACCTCTTGGAGCCTTGTGGGGTATCTTTTGGGCTTCTTGGAGGCCTCTTGGGCGCGTCTTGGGCGCCTCTTGGGGCGCCTTGTAGGAGATCGTGGCCTTGGGAGCGTGAATGTGGCGCGACCTGCGAGGGATCGTGGCTTCGCAGGCGCGAATGTGGTGTAGTTTACGCGGGATCGTGGCCTCGGGAGCGCGAATGATGTGTAATTTACCGGAGATCGTGGCCTTGGGGGCGCGAATGTGGTGTAATTTCTGAAGGATCGTGGCCTCGGGGGCGCAACTGTGGCGCAATTTACGGGTGATCGTGGCTTTAGAGGCGAGAGCGTGGTGTAATGTATTAGAGATCGTGGTCTCAGGAGCGTGAACGCGGTGTATTTTGCGAAGGATCGCGGCTTCGGGGACGCGAACACAGTGTAATTTAGAAGGGATCGTGGCTTCGGGGACGCGAACACAGTGTAACGTACGAGGGATTATGGCTTCGGGGACGCGAATCTCATGTATTTTTACGTGTCCCACGACACCCCGAGGAATTCAGACAACGCGATCTGGGCGTGGTAATTTGGTCCCTTTTCGGCTCCCCCCCCTCGCGCGTTCAGTGACAATTAACAGTCAGTGGGAAGCAGAAAGCAAAGCTGTCACACTGGAAGCTGGAACCTGCAACTGGTGCAGGGAGCAGGGCACCTCCGCCACGCAGCCCGATGGCCCCGCAAGGGGGCCGGCGGAGTTCAGCACCCCCGGGCGGGCCTCCCAGCTCCCAAAGCGAGGCTCCGCGCCGCCCGCGCGCGCTGCTGGCGCCCGCGCGCGCTGCTGGCGCCCGCGGCGGCAGCGCTGGCGCCCACCCAGCGCATGGGCGGGGCTGGCCGCGCCCGCCGCCACCTGCGTCGCCGCCCACGCGGGGCTCGCGGCGCCGCGGCCCTGGCGCGGCCCAGCGGCGCCGCACCAGAGGGCGTGCAGTGTCCCGCGCGCCTGCAGGAGGTCCAGCGGCGGCAGCCGCGCTGAGGCCGCCGCCTTTGCCAGCTGGTCCGCGGCGGCGTTGCCCACCAGGTCCGCGGCGGACACCCCCCGCACGCGGCCGCGCTGTCCCCGTGTGGCCTTTGAGTCACCTCGTCTTCGCGAGCCTGCAGCTGCAGTGGGGCGCGACGAGTTCCCACAAGCCAGAGGGCGACCACTCCTGTGGGGAACCGCCCTGGACGAGCGCGGAGAGACCGTTCCCGACGTGCTGCGAATCTGTGACGACTTCGAGCGGCTGCTGGGCGGCGCGGAGCGCCTGCACCGCTGCCGTGAGCTCCGCGCGCGGTGCAGTCTGCGCCCCGTCGACCCCGCTGCTGTGGTCGGTGTGCACGCCTGCGGCATCCTCCAAGCGGCAGCCCAGCCCGGCGCAGGCCAGCAGCGGGCCGGTCGGGTGCACGCGCGCGCCGGCGCGCGTGCGGGCCTGGACCGACGGCCGTGGGTCCAGGCCCGCGCACCGCGCCGCGCCTTCGGCGGGCGGGAGCGGCGGGGCGAGCGCGGGCGCGGGGGCGCTACAGTAGGGGCGCGCATCAAGGTGCTTTCTTCAGGGTATCCTGGGTTTTTTTCGCTCCTCGCGCTGCGCGGTGAATTCCCGCAGCCGTTGAAGGAGCTGCTGCGTTCAGGTTGCTCCAGGTTTCCCCTCAGGTGCACCGCGCGCACGGGTTCTCAGGGTAGGGCTTCTTGCGAGGGTTTCTTGCGGCCGCGCCCGCACTGTAGCGCTGGCGGCAGCACCTGCTTCCGGGAGATCGATAACTAGAGCCTATGCCAAGTACCGCCTTCACTTTCTAGCCACAGGCGTCTATGTACGCACGGGGTGTCGTTACGTAAATATACACCTTCAGGATGGATGCGTATATATATATATATATATAGACAACGCGGCCATTGCGTTCGACGTCGTACAAGGTCGGAGAAAGGGTAGATCCGTCTGCGGTAAGTCCTTGTTCTAGATACGACTTATGTTCCTCCGCGCTCTCGTCCTCTCTTGATCGGCCAGAGGTGGGCGTCCACAGCCGCATGCCAGAGGAGGACACCGCCGTGAAGGAGCGCCACCTTGGGCCAACTCTCTCGCTCCCGCCGCCCATGCGTCAGCACCATTCCTCGCCCTTGCTTTCGCCTTCATCGTCATCAGCGTCCTCGTCCTCCTCATCCATTGTCTTCTCTGGCCCTCCATCGTTATTCTCTTTCGTTCGCATCTCGTGTCCATCGTCGAGCTCCTGCTCTGATCTTCTCTTTCGTGAGTTGTTTGATCACAAGGGAGTAATTGTATGCGACCGTCTGGATGTCGCGCAGCACTGTCGCGCATATCCGCCACCGCGTGGGGTCGAGAAAGGCTGGGCGGGAGTAGGGCCAGCTGTGGGGGGGTCCTGGGAGTAAACCTCGAGACATAGGATAGGCGCATGCTGACCTCTCTGCGTTTGGGGACCCTCACGACTGCTACGCACGACAGTTCTATGAGACAGTTCATGCCCGACACGCATTGGCAGCAGCATTGCACGGTGGCTGATCGTGATCATGTCTTCGCCCGTTATTGCGAGCACATTTCTAGGATGCAGACACGTTTCTTTCAAGCGGATTTGATACAGTAGTTCTCTAGGTGCAAATTTTATCGGGGCTAGTTGCTCGGTCAGCCTCCTTCATTGGCATTGCGGGGCGCATGCTGGAGCTGTTGACTCAGGAGCACATTCTGCCCAGAAGCGACTCGGGGGTTCCTCAGGTTGTCTGTCCCCTCGACGCCTCCTCGGGCGTTCCTTGCACATTCGGGCGCAGCTTGGTCCAAGGGGCAGGCCGCCTTGCCGTCCCAAATCAGACCGCGCTGCCCAGGTTGTCCGGGGATTTTTGCGGATGGGATCCTTCCTCCATCGAGCACGGTCGGGGTCCTTCTGGCAGGCCTCTGGCCGCACGCGCGCGTGCTCTCTGCCCGCTCCGCCCTCGGGCAGCGAGCCGCTCGCGCCCCCAGCTCTGCGCTGGCCCGTGCTCCGCGCGGCGCCGCCCCTGTCTGCCTGCGGCCCCCCCGCCTTGGGGCACGCCAGCCGGCGCTCGGTGACGGGCGGGACCCTGACGGGCGGGTCGGGCGGGCGGGACCCCAACGGGCAGGTCGGGCGGGCGGGGCCCTGGCACGCGGGTCGTGTGGGCGGGACGCTGGAGCCGGCGGGCTTGCGAGCACGCGAACGGGCGGGGCCCCAACGGGCGGGTCGGGCGGGCGGAGCATTGACGGGCAGGTCGGGCAATCGGGACACCAAAACGAGCGGGCGGGCCTGCCAGCACGCGAACTGGCGGGACCCTGATGGGCGGGTCGGGCGGGTCGGGCGGTCCGCGGGAGGGACCGCACGCCTAGAGCTCCGCAGGCAGACCGCGAACGAGCGCCCGTTCGATCAGGAGGCGGATCATCATGCACAGACACCGCTGGTTGTGCGCTTCCCGTTCTCCTGCCTCCCCCAAGAGGGGAAGGGGAGGGGAGGAGGAGGAGGAGGAGGAGGAGGAGGGGAGGGAGGAGGAGGAGGAGGAGGAGGAGGAGGAGGAGAAGGCGGAGGAGAAGGAGGAGGCGGAGGAGGAGGAGGAGCAAAGTTGGGGAGAAGGAGGCATGGGGGGTATGAAAAGGACGAGGAGGAGGAGGAGGAGGAGGAGGAGGAGGAGGAGGAGGAGGAGGAGGAGGAAGGGGAGGAGGATGAGGAGGAGGAGGAGGAGCGGGAATGTAGAGGAGAGAGGTTGGATTGGGGAGGAACGGGTGGTCATTGTAGTTGGTCTCCGTACTCATGTAAACGGTGGTACGGCTGAATTCCCCGAAGATGGGCCAGAGAAGGCCAGCTACCCACCTACATCCTGGCCAGGCGTACGCTGGGCGTGGACGGTCGATCGTGGATTGTTGGCGACATGCTAAGTTTGTGAACCGTTGCGCGCCAGAACGCCCTCGGGAAGCACGTGCTACGCGCGTACGACTTCAAGTCGAAGGGGGAAGTTGGCATGCTTGCAGGCGGCGTAGTGGACTACATGAAGGAAGAGAGGCGTTCTTGGCGCAGCGGGGTTGTGCCTTGCCTGGATGTGGGGGGATAGGGAAGCGGAGATGGTAGATGGAATAAGATAAGTGTGTTCGCACCATATTGGCATCTCATCCCTTTCACCGCGCTGAACATGCCGTTTGCTCACCGAGTCGTGTGTAGATTCGAGCCTTGATCCCCAGATTGCACTTGCAGTGCTTGGCACGTCGTCCAGTGTGCAAGGGTGAGGGGGCCAGGCAGGACCAGGATGCTCTCCTCTCCAGGCAGGGTACTGCTGCATCCTAGCTCCCTGAATCCGACTGGGCAACGCCGCTGAAGCTAGCTTGCCCCCCAAGCGTGCAGCACTCTCTCGATGGCATCCTAATCGACGCCTCGTGGCCACCCTGACGCTGCGTAGGGTAGGTTGGTGCCGTGTCGACCGGCGGCGATCCCGCCGCCGGCGTTCAACGTTGAACGCCCTTGGCGACCCAGACTCGCTCGATGCTGAAGGGTGGGACGTTTCGGAAACGGCCGATGGTTCAACGCGGAGCGATTCCCGCGGTGCCCGAAGCCAACGCCGAAGTCGACGCGGCGCGCTCCTGCCGTGTGCACCGCATGCATAGCCCATGCCCTCCTCGCGGGTTCCGCGTGGTGCACAGCGGCAGCACTTGGCGACCCGGGCCACGCGCCGTTCCGCGGCTGCCTCCGCGCCTGTCCACGGCAAGAGGGCACTCCTGAGGCTCTTCTGGGCAGCCCGTGCACCGCGCAGCACGTCTGACCATGCCTGCCTCGGGCTGCGGCCCCACAGCTCGCAGACTTCCACCTAAAAGAAGGGACAAGTACCGATACCGGTTCCCTTCCGTCGTTGTCGCCTTCTCGGGCTTCCTGGGAGGCCCTCGTCGCCACCGCCGGGTTCGCCTCGGAATTCTGGTCAGAACGCACCCCGGGAGGGATCTGTGGAGTAGCGGTATGGGTACCTTGTGGTTTCCCGCGCAGCTCGCAGATTTCTACAGCGGTGTTTTTTTCGGCGGCCGCCCCCATGGTGTGCACGCATTCTGCACATCCTAAGCTTCTCGGCTCGGCGTCCGCACGCTCAAGTTTCTTGCGGCCCGCCAGGCTGTCCCAGGTGGGCGTCTCTTCGGCGGTGTACGCGTGCGAGTTCTTGCTCTTCGTGACGACAGAGGACACTTTGTTCTTCACAGGAGGAGGATGAGGAGGAGGCAGATGAGGAGGAGGGGCAGGAGCAGGAGCAGGAGGAGCGGGAGCCACGGCAAGCTCTCGGCAAGCTCTCGGCAAGCTCTTGCAAGCCCACGGCAAGCCTTGGCCGTGTAGGCACCACCACTGGCGCTCCCTGCGGCTCGTGTCGGACGAACGGGAGGGATAGGGAGAGGGGGGGATAATATGAGCACCAGAGCAGTAGTTTCTGTAGCAAAGTCTATCAACGAGGGGAGGCGGCTCAGATGCTCAGTCGAGCTTCTCTTGCCCGTGGGCGGGCATCATGTGCTTGTGTTATGCGGTCGCGTCTATCGTGGAGAAATCAAGACGGTAGCAAATCATGAGCCTTGTTTACCTTCCTAATTCCGTCTCTAGAGTGCACAAGCGTCGATAGCGTCGTGGAATCGTGGAATCGGTGAGGTAGCGCCGATTTACCGTCGACTAGCGACGATCTCGCGCCGATTAGCGTCGACGACGGCGTCGACTAGCGTCGATCTAGCGCCGATTAGTGTCGATTAGCGTCGATTCCGATTTGCAAGAGCCAACAAGATTGTAAGACAGGCTCCCATGAGCTGCCACCATCGACGGGGGGGGGGTAACGTGGCCCTGGCATAGGACAGGCCCTCCCCTCCCGTCCTGCTCATGGGGCGGGGAGCAGCGCTCCCAGCGGCGATAGATTTGGTTGTTCACCCCCCGTGCACTCGGATGCAACTCCTGGGAGGTAAAATTCTGATTTTGCCCTGGTCCGAAGTCTGGCTTTATCCGGCCTGACCCCGCTTACTCCGGCTGAATCCTGATTCATCCCGCTTGATTCCGGCTTGATCCCGCTGGATCCGATTTGTTGTTTTGTTCACACCACACTGATCGATTTGTTTCACACCACACTGATCGATATGTTTCACACCACACTGATCGATTTGTTTCACACCACGCTGATCAATTTTCCGGCCCGGCGCAATGCCGGGGAGGAGGACCCGCGCCGCCTCCCTACGGGCCGCTGCTCTCTGCTGCTCTCTGCTCCCCGCTGGATCCGAGGCCCACTCCGGCACAATCCTTCGGACGAAGACCTCCCAGCATTAGCTCATCCCCCCGCGCAGTTTCGTCGCCGTCGTCGGTCGTCTTCGTCGGCCGATCCTGGGCCGCCGAGGCACTTTGTCTTACTCCTTCGCCCCGGGGAGGAGCGGCGAGCGAGGGGGGGCGATGGAACGCGTGACATTCCCACACCAAAAATCAATGGACATCCTGGGGTCTCAGGGCTGGGTTCCTCGTGGAAGGTTTCCTGTGGTCGAGCTCCCGAGCTCC